CCAAGTGTTGTTCAGAGTCATGTTCATGTCACCAGCAATAATCGTGATGTCACTATTCTTCGTCATGCGAAGAAGAGATGAGAGCTATTGATAGAAATCGTTTTTCATACCCTCTGAACTGCAACCCGTAAGGACATAAAATGAGGCGATGAAGAGGCACGATGTCTTCAGATGGGGCTAATTAACCTCAATAGAGGTTCGGAGTGGAACTTCCCAATGCGACTGTTCACCGGCATCCAGTCGAGTAGATTACCTTCAGCATATCTGCTGAGGGCGATACCAACAGTGAATACCTTGAGTCATTGACTTACTATTGCCAGAGACGCAAAGATTGTGGACATCGTCGCCAAATTCAGAATCAGGAAGTTGGGGAATCGTCACGACGCTGTTGTTTTGTATGCGTGTTTCGGAGACACAGTACACATCACTACCGAGAGAGTGAGGAGTGCGGGTTAGTGATGCCTGCGGGCCGATCTGTCCTAGAGTGTGGACGTTAAAAGAACCAATGTGCAATGAAACTGTACGTTTTAGGGAAGAGCTGTATGTATGGCAGCAACTGTGACGTCAGCGGCATTCTCTTGCTCGGTAGACGGAGATGGAGAGGAGAGAAAAACAAGAAGTTGAGGGAGTATTGTCGACTTGGTCGAGATTGCAGATGATACTCTCCGGCTGCCCATTCCGAGAAAGGGGTTCTGTTCGAGGTGCCTCGCCTCTAGCCTTTGACCAAACTGTCTGGCGCACAAGGCAGTGGGTGGTATGGAGGTGTGCTTGAAGAACTCCGTACTGAGCCTTCGGCACAATACCCTGACCCACAAGGCGGTGAGGAACAGATCCAGCTCGGGAGTGTGATTGCAGAGACCGAGTGGGGTCTGCCTGAGGTTCGTCACACAGCCTTTGAAGATCTAGTATGGTGCACTTGTGTTTTACGATCGTAGTATATTGTGCATGCTGAGGCTGATGTTGCATTCATGTTGTTTTGCCGGAGTTAGGCTAAAGCAACTTACACTCAAGCTAAGTCTTTTTAAGCTGGATACATTTCCTTCCAGTGTGTTTGCTTTATTCTGCCTACCTGAATAATGTTCTGTTAACTGGTTGCTCACACTTATGTTGTTTATCTTCGTTGCCTTTCTTGGGTATGTAGCATTTTTTGAGTAACTAATGGACAATTTGTACTTATCGCGGGTGTGTTGCTAACCAACTTACTTCGTATGTTAATTTATCGAACTGTTATGTCGGCATAGCCGTATGCTTTAACAGGTATATTTTATTTGATAATGTGATTTCAAGTGATTGGCTTTTGTTGGATATCCCGGGTGTGGGTGCGCTTTTTATGCATCCTGACAATGTGCCTACCTGTCTTTTACCCACTGCCTCTTCCATACTGCTTCCAGGAGATCGATGGTCGTTGCTGGAGGGGACGGGGTGCGCGGTCCTTGTGGTCGTGTAGGGTCGATGGGTGGTTCCGTGCACTCAGTGTGGAGCGGACCACGGTCCAGCCACCGCCTTGTGTGCGCTTGATTCCCCAAATACAGCGTGCTTGTATTTGCCTGTGAAGGAGTATGAGACGGCTCCGTTGATGAAACGTGGCTCCCATCCACATGCTTCCCGGTCTTATTCCTTCGGGTTTACACTGGATTTGAGGTGTGTGGTTGGAGCTGTGGGTGGTGCAGCGCAAGCCACCCATGGCCCCTGTGTAGGCGCAGGCGTCCTGTGGCTGGCCACAGTGACAGGCAAATCAGAAACCGGATGCCGCCAGCCATGTTACGCAACTGCGACAACAGCCAGCCGCAGGTGGGAGTTCTCCGATTTTCCCCAATTTTATCTGCATAGGAGGTACCTGCATGGCAGTGGAGGATGGGTCGGGCTATATCGCAGTTAGCTAACAAATCATAATGGTCGGCTACCGTCCTCCATGGCGCAGTTGCGTAAGCTGCGGGCCAGTTGGCACAAACCACTGGCGGTCATGGGTTCGATCCTCGTAGAGGACCGAGGGATGCGCACCACTGAGCTGCCCCAATAGGGCAAAACGGCCGTCTGGTGCTTTTCCGGATAGGTAGTTGACTTATCTGAATTGTCGCATGATTGCGACGAACAAAAATACTCATCAAAATCCTTCTATTCATAGGTAATTTCAAGTTCGTTGCCTTACTCGCATGCCTGAGCTCTGGTTTCACTAATGAATCATTTCCGTAGGAAACACGCATCAGGCCATCGGATTCTTGTGGCGAATGCTTTTGTGTTTTTTCGCTTGTATGCTCTTCCAGTATTGCACTCCTGTTTGTCACTAAAAATCATGCATTCACCGATCTTTTACTTGCGGCACTTTTGTCGGCAGAGGCCGCCTTGGCTTTTTCAAGCTCTGGCTGTTTGCAACTGACACTCCCTGACTGATGAGTTATCAGAAGTAGACGGTTTTCTCGATTTTTGAAACGTGACGGAAGACGAAATTAAGCGCTATGCTCTGCGGTTAAAGCTAATCGAAGTACTGTTGAACCTGGCTTTTATTTGTTATAAAAAAATATAACAGGTTGCCCTTGGACGAGGATAATGGGAGGTGGAAATCTTCGGCAGATGGCAATGCGGACTAAGGGTCTACGTCAGAGGATATTAGCATCAGACCCAAGAATGTTCTTCGATGTTGATTTCCCCTTATGAATACAGCCTAGAACAATTAATCCGTAGTTAAAAGCAATTCTTGTTTGAGGGATTTCGAGGAGCTTGAAATGGGAACAGATTAGGATGCACACAAAAGATGTTTACATGATAAGTGTGACCTAAAAAAGAAAATAATTTCAAAATGTAGACAGTCGCAGCGTTTTTCATTGTAAATGACAATAGAAACCACCTTTAAATGTCTGAATTGGCAATAGTTAGACCATACATAAAGACGCACTGTTTTTTGGGTTTTTTCTACATCCCACGCACCTTTTTAGATTCTAAGCATGTACCTTTTTGAACAGAACGTTCAGTACGAACTTTGTGTCTCGTTTAACTAACGTAGAACCTATCTAGCTGGGCGCAATTTGTGTCGATTCTTAGGTGGATCTAACCAACCGGTGCTAGCTTGTTCCTTTCCTTGTTGGGGATACTGTCGTTATCCGACTTAAGCAATTTCTATAAGGTTACGGTGGTCGAAAACCTGAAGCTTCCTTAGGTCTTCAGATCGAGCTCTCTTGTGTGCTCCTGCAAATACCACTACTTCTAGCGTTTACATGACGTGGAACTGCCTCGGCCACCATATGCGTGTTACTGTTGTTGCAGCTGTATTGGTGACTGAATGAATCAAGTGCTTAGCCCCTCATCATTTTGAATCATATTCCATCTAGTGGCTAATGTTTCCATGTCAAATCTTCGCACTTTGAAGATGTGAAGCTATTGTTAACGCATTGTGCACCACTTCTGAATGTCCAAGGGATAGCTGTGCTGTCTCGTGATCCTCAGACAGCAACGCAACTTCGTCATTTTGATCCCCGTTGATCAGATTTTCCCTTGTTAGGACATCAGCATCTTGGCCGCGAGAATCCGCAAGGGAACATTCATTGTTGGAGTCCACGAAAGAATTGAGCTAAAACAGGTCAGCCTTGGCCAACATCACTCGTTTTCGGAGGGACATCCTTTAACTCGCTACAGTCATCGAGGTCGCTTGGTTTGTTCGAATGCGACGCAAGCGAGATCTCCACATATTTCATGTGGCACCCTCCTGAGCAGTTTCGTCGAATAGGATTAGACAACTGACTGAGTCCAAGGTGTCCTTGATCTCGCGTAATTCAGCTATCAGCTTCCTTCGGTACATGTAACGCCGTTGTGGCATCCCACACAAAAACTTAGCTTATCTGTCCCTCTCCTCCTGCTGAATTCCTGTTGTACCGTTAGGCTGCGGTAGAATGTAAGGACCATTAGCATTGCCTCTACTTTTGTCAAAATTGTCGTTCACACAAGCGTCGTAGCTGTGCATCCTGGTTATCACTTCGTGTTCGGTCGGAGCCTCTAACTTGGTTGTACATGACTCGGCCTGTATCACGTGACTGCGAAGCGGCAAGGAAGCGGGTCATGTGAACAGGCTTATGCATCTGCCGAATCAGACCGCGTTCGTCATTGTGAGTTAGCTCTGCTGCTCCCATTGCTAGCTTTAATGGCGCATGAGTCCCCTGCAGTATTGGTGCGGACTAGTTAGAAGATCCAATCCTGCCACCATGTCAACTCGCAGACTGGTCTAACTTGCTGTCGACAGCCTGCCTGGTTTCGTTGTGCTCTGTCCCAGTGTGCATTACCATGGAATTTTCTTACTTCTTATTTCCTAACCTCACATGCACTGTCCCCCGGTATGATGAAAGTATGGTGAGCTGCAGCTCATGCATACTATGCAGCTCCTGTGGTCCTATTCCACCGAAGTTTGTTGTCCTCAGAGAAAGCTGCCGTGAGTCTGGTAGACTTGTCTAGTACAGAACTGAGATAGCCACTTGTTCGTCGATGGAAGAAATCGTTTGCTTCCCTTGATGGTAAACTTCAAGTAAATTTGACAGCTAACTAGGGTATGTTCACAATCAAAGCACATGTTCCAATACGAATGGCAATTAGGAATAAAACCGCATCACTTGAAATACACAGCGACCTGGTCAAATTGAGTCCGATATTTTCCATCCACCGACGATTAGGAGATAGCACATCAACGCGCAATGTGCTTGGAACTATTGCTGCTTCTCAGCAGTCGGTGTTCATCGCAATATTGTTGTTTACTCACTATAACTCATACGCTCGGATTTATGCACAAAATTCCCGTCCACTTATGCTTCAAATGAGCATCGCGTCTGCTAGTTCAGTATCCCTACAACTTGGGTGTCATCTGTACTGTTCCTTCCTCACAGTAACTTTCCGAGTTCCATAGAAGACGATACCTTCAATAGCAACAGAAGTGCGTTCAGTTTGAGCAAAGTTAACTTCACTGAATCCACGTATTGTGTTCTTGTATCCTTCAACTTCAGTTGACTTTATGAGATAGGATGCGCCAGTGCTGTATCGCGGACGTGCGCTCAGAAGAATGGAATTCCGCCTTGTACTTGAGGGCCCACGCAGCTAAATTCGCAATGATAAGCCTTTCAGTGGTTTTCTTTCACATCCACTGCATATCGCGCTTTTTGTTCATCTTCCGGTTTCACTTCTTCGTCATATATGATGGTGCGATTCATGTTTTTGTTTTTCTAAAACAATCCCGTTTTCCGATGTTATATGCAGAATCCAGTGTTGACGAACAGACCAATGGCTTCGTCAACTTTCGTGATGCCGGTTTGGCTGATACTGGAACGGAGCATGTCTTTTCCGACGACTTCCCCAGTGCAGACAGCGTAGCAGAGGGTGAGCATGTTCATCCTTCCGCCGATGGGTTTTATGACTCCTCCACTTGGAAATCCGTCACTACGCACTTTGTGGGGTGCCAGAGTTTTCGTCGTTGTTATTCCAACGAGAAATTGGCTTTCTTTGGTGCGACTGCCTCGAACGAGAGAGCATACTGTGAACGCTCATTGAATGTTCAGCGTCAGCGACGTCATTCTGTCAACTTCTCCTCGCATGATCAGCAGATGGCTTACTCTCCACGTGATACAGTAGAAAGATTGCATCAAGCTTTGCTTCACCGTCGGTGAGTTTTGCTTGTGTATTGCGCTTTGCTACTCGAACAGTGCGGCAGTTGAACAGGGATTGACATGTGGGAATGACATGTGCCTACTGTTTCCATTTACGATGGTCCACTACCATATAAATCTTCGGGTCAGCCGTGGAGGGAAACTTGGTCTTTGCAACACCTTCAAGTCTTTGACCATTGCCACGTGTGCAGCATTGCTGGTACCGGATGGCACCAGTGTGTCCGCAACAATGATGTGCGTGGGTGAGTGATAGTCTAGTTCCATAGAACAACAGATGGCAAAAATTGACTTGGCTTGGGCACTTGGTACACAGGGATATATATATATATATATATATATATATATATATATATATATATATATATATATATATATATATATCCAGTGTACACCCGAAGGAATAAGACCGGGAGGCTTGCGGATGGGAGGCACGTTTCATCAACGGAGCCGGCCCACATTCCTTCACAGGCAAACACAAGCACGCTGTATTTGGGGAATCGAGCGCACACACAAGACAGTGGCTGAGTGCATGGAACCACTCTTCGAGCCTAGCACGACCACAAGGACCGTGCACCCCGTCCCCTCCAGCAACGACCAGCTGTCTCCTGGAGCCAGTATGAACGAGGTAGTGGGTAATAGACAGGTAGACACCTTGTCAACATACACATCAAGTGCAGCCGTACCGGGGATATCCAGAAACAGCCAATCACCTGATACGAAAATATCATAAAATAAATTGACTAGTGCATACAGATCCTGTGTCATAACTCTTCAATAAATGAGCATATGAAATAAATTAATTGCCAAAAAATCCGCTATGGGTTCAAGACGTCAGGAAATATGTCTTAAGAAAATACCACAAACGCGAAAATATTATCAAAGTTAACTACAAATACCTTGAGCGACGTGTGCTAGTTAATAGAAGATAATTCAAGTGGACATTAAGGAAACAATATAGCAATATGACGACCTGAAATAAAGAGACTCAGCATGCTAGCAAGCGGTTAGTGAATCGAGTGCAGCGTAGCTACTAATGCTGCGCCGGTTTTTGCTTACGCTGTCAGCAGGACCCGTCGTCGTTTCAATGTTGGCCCCGAGTGACCTCGCTCATGGCCCGCTAGGCCTGCCTGATTCAAGCACTCGCGACCGCATGTGCTAGATCGCCATGTGCTCGATGTCGATGGTGTACAACCCATCGGCGCCTACCGCTTCCGCACTTGCCACTTCTCGGCATGCACCTCGGCAACGGCCTTCGTGATCAGATCGCGCTATGCGCGCCGATCAACCGCCTTCGATTCCCATGACCTGCAACCAAGATTAGAACGTGAGAGGCTCATTTCGCTCATGTCCTGGGAACGAAGCTTCGGTTTCCTCACATGCCGCTTTCCCAAACTCAGCTGACCATTTAATAGCTGCTTCGATATCCGCTTCGAATCCATACGCCACACATGACCGAGTCACCTCAGGTATCTCAGCAAAAGTATGCAGTCCACTGCATACATTCTACTTCGGCGCAACACTTCCTTGTCTGCAACTCTGTCGCACCAACCGATGCGCAGAATCCGTCGCAAACACTGTTAATGGAACCGTTCGAGATATCGCACACTCCGCCGATACATCGTCTACGTTTCGTTGTTGTGTAGAAGAATGGACAGCACCATGGATTTGTACATCAGCTTCGTGCCAATAGTAGGCCATCAGGTTACCGATGGTTGTTCCACACTCGGTACTCTAGCTTCCCGAATGCCGCCGTTGCCTTCGATATCCGGATACAAAGCTCACTGTGTATCTGCTGATCAGTCGACATCACACTCCCAGGGTAGCAGAAGCGGGAGGTGGTTTCCAATACTTCAGCACCAATGCTGATTCGCAGCACCATTGAAGATTGCACCTCCGGTGCAAGCTGAAAGAGACAGACAGTTTTGCTTGTGTTGATGGTGAGCCCGAATTTGGCCGCTGTCGTAGCCAGAGCAATGGTCATGTGCTTCAACTCATCCGCGCTGTGTGCAAACAACACACAGTTGTCAGCAAACAGCAACATACGGATAGTTGTTTCACAGACTAGTGTTCTCGCACTGAAACGACGGATGTTCAGCAACCCACCACCAGTACGGCGCTCCACACGAACACCGTAAGCACAAGCGGTATCAAAACACAAGACATCATTGCATGAAGATAAATATTAAACAGGACAGGAGCTAAGACACAGCCTTGCTTCACACCAGAAACAACTGCAAAGTCTCTCCACTCAGCTGCACCCTCGTCCGCATACCACTGTGCAGACATTCAATTAAATTTACAACCTTACGCGGACAACCAAACTTACCCAACACCAGCCACAATGCCTTGCGGTTTACCGTACCAAATGCTTTGGTGAAATCAACAAAAAGCGAGCACACTGGCTGGACGGGTAAATATCGGCCTATTGCATGCACCTCGTTGGCTTTGAAGGTTTGTGAGAAAATTATTCTTAAAATAGTGTTGGTCTAGTCCCGTTTACATGACCCATATCAGTTTGCCTCATAGAAGTCCAAGGCGCGGTGTCTTGTCTAGTACATTCAGTGTTGTCGTCGCTAGACAATATGAACAAATCCACGCGTGTCTCTTCCTCGACTACAACAATGCTTTACGCTGCGTTAACTGTAAATTGCTTTTGCTGTTATTTAATTTGCCTTAGTCTCTGTCAACTGATTATCTCCTCAAGCGTACTCAGGTTACCAGGTTTGGCAGCAAAATCTCCTCGCCACTTGCTACGACTTCCGCTGTTCCTTCAAGTGGCTATTTTGTCCCCATTCTTGTTCTCTACCTACCTTACTCTATGTCTTTATCAGAAGAAGCCATTTCGCTAAAATATGCTGATGGCCTAATACTCGGCATGTGTCATCAAATCACATCCTTTTCAACTAAGCTGTAAAGTTCTTTGGACGAGCTAGTGTAACGGTCAAAATCCCGCTCTTTGATGCCGAACGCATCCAAGTGCAACGACCTTCTTGTTTTACTTCATAAGGCAGCTACTTATCAGAAAATTGTCAAGGACTGTCTCAAACTTCAGATCGATAGTGAAAGCTTTCCTACGTCGGTAAGGCGTCTTGGAGACACACTGAGCCACCATACATCGTGCTCACTGCATAAACGAAATATTTACCAACGGCAGGCGTCTTACTTCGCTCGATTGCGATTTTCTTTTTACCACTGCATGCATTCTGCCACAGTGGGCTTATGGTTCTCCTTTGATTTTACTAAGTCTACTGTGTAAGCATTTCAAGCTGTTAAACTGGCTACTGAAACGCTTAACTCGATGCAGTAGCATTCGAAAACCATCTTTTGTTCAAACAGCTGTACCTATCCATGTAAATTCCTGCACAAAGCCTGCTTCTAAGACACTGATCAATGCTATGCACCCACTTCTCAGTGCGCTCTCCAACTGTATATCTATCCTGTCGACCAGACAAAAGTGCGGAACAATATATGTCCGCACGATAGCATATATCTTCTCGGCCATTTCCTCTCTAGCCAGATTTCTATTTGACCAAAATGCTACTATCCAAGAATTGACCGGCAAAAGGGTAGTTTTTCATTGGGCATTTTTTTCTTTTTCTGTTGTTCTGAAGCTATTCGATTAACCTTTTGCCATAAGACGTGTGTTATGGCTGAAAACTCGTACTTGACCCCAGTCAAGTTGCCTCCAGGTGATCAGTTTCTAATATCTGACAGCATACAAACCTGCCCAGCGCAGCTGGGCAGATTGGCACTTTCTGTCAATCGCTTCTGGCCGTGTTTTTCATCCTTACAATCCAGATGTTTTCTCTAAGACTAACAGAGTCAACTTTTGTCCACCGCGAGCCTTACGCCACTCTGCATCTGGCAGACTAAACAAGGCCCTCTTAGGCAAGTGCTGACGAGGCATACGTAGTAGGTGCTCAAGCTGTGCTGTTCTGAGGAACCCACTCGTTTATCATTGCCTAGCACTCGCGTACGCACATCATAGTTGCGGACACGCTGGCACAACCCGATACCAGCAATGCTCCGCAAACAGCAATGATCAAAGACTTGAAGACGCTTCAGATCTTCATACTAAAGGGACCAAGTCCCACTACCAAGGGGTAGGACGGCCCTCACTGTGGCCTTATAAACAGGGTTTTCAAACAGGGTTAAACGCCTTTCTGTCGCCAAAGATGTCGCAGATTCAAAAAGACCGTTCTGGCTTTTGCAGTACGTGAACTGACCTCATTAGCTATGCACCAGTTGTTGCTGATACAGCTGCGAAGGGGTGATTTGATCGACTACTTCGAGTTCCTTGCTATCTAGGATCAAGCGATCATCAAGTGGCTGATGGTCCTGTAACAACACTGCACTTTGGTTTATTAGATGAGGTCTCTTTACGCGTCTCCAACGCTCGGGTTGCTTTTGTCAATCTCCGCCATCTGTAGTGTCGAGGCGATCTGAGTGTATCTCTGAAGTGCCGAGTTTACAATTCCACGGTGAGTGTGGTTCTGCTGTATGGCTGCGAAACGGCCTGTTCGCGCAAAGGAGGTTGAGAGGTTGTCTGTTTTTGACCACCGCTACCTTCGGAGCATCGCTGGTCTACGATGGCGACATCACGCTAGTAATCAAGATGTTCGACGGAGGATTTTCAGATCAGACAGACTTTGCCGGCCACAGTAGCATCATTTCTCTGCGCAGACTTCAGCGGCTTGGGCATGTTCTTCACATGCCTACTCATCGCCTACCTCGCCGTGTTGTGTTTTTCTATATCCCTCCTCTCGCCCCGCCTATCTCCTCGGTCACCACGCATTACATAAAGACACAACCTTATATTATTCGTTTTTTTTTCCTTTTTTCAGCTGTTATCACCAAACCTCCTCATCATACCATTTCACTCACGGTACTTCATCAGCTGCTAGCATCTTTTGAAAAAGAAACTTTGATTCATTTTTAATAACCTTCCCAATAGCACTCTTCCTTATTCGTTTTGATGGATGACACGTCCCGCTTCCGGTTTTCTTCTGTTTTACTGACTCATGTTTCTTTCACCTTTCTGTTGTCGTCCAATTCCAGCAAGAAATCTCGCCTTCGTGAATCTCGGAGACGGTCTGTTGTGTTTACTGGATCCCACTCTGGGGTTTGTGCAAGTAATGCTTTTAGTGAAGGTGTACGATGCGGCCTTCAACGTGTGTCCAATGTCACTCCCGTACTTGACAACAGTGCAGATCCGTTGGTTACTTCAAACGGTTTCGGTGAGGAAACGCGCTCCTCCGGTTAGTTGAATACCTTCGTACCTCTTATCTTCTTTCATTTTAACAACATTTATCTACTTTATATTGTGTCTGCATGTTATATCATGAATGATTGTATCTGGGATGTGATACTTGTGCTATGCCCAGGTCTAGGCTGCAGAGTCACTGAAACTTTCGACGAAAGATTTTGGCCTAGAGTGCAGCACTTCCCCACAATGCGTACCGTGCTCTAGGAATCACTGGGTCTGTGAAGTTTGAGTACTACTTCGTCACGTCTTGTTCACCAAACGTCATACAAACCTCTCATAATCGTGACATTAAGTCCACTTTCATTTGTCACAAGTCATTTATCGCGTTCCGCACTGTTGTTTCAGCAACTGTATCCATTCGTTGTTATACAGTGGATGGCATTACCCTGACACGTCGCCAAAAACTGGGGTAAAATGACATCTGCCCAACAAAATGGAGTAGATGAGAGAAAAGAAACCGGTTAACTCGGTAAAAAGAAGTCAACCCGTCAGATGGAGTTAACACTTCAAAGATAGACTACTGTCATTGTGTCTGCATATATAGCGATATTCATACACCTGTTGTGCAGTGATTATAGGCCAATACAATCTCCAGTAGAGTGGGATTTCGCATGGCTCATAGTTAATCGAATCTCGCGATTGCGACTGAGCCGCTAGAGACGTGATTTGTGTTACTAATTTGAAGTGGATAGTGTTAACACCGATATCTTGATGCTAATCACAAGACTTCATTTGACCCTACATAACCTTGACAGTGACTGGAAGAATGACACGTACCAACTTCCAGCCAGGGCGAGGTTCCACCCTGTGCCATATAATGTCGACCACTGCCGGGACATCATCGTCTATCAGCTACTAAGGGCGCTGATCGAGGCCGCTTGCACTATGACGCCTTAGCAGCACCTGCAGGCATCAGTTATTGATGGTGGTCTGAGTTACCACAACATCCTGAGTGAGTCCAGGTGATCTGATTAGTAATTCTGATACAACAGCCAGGCAGGTGCTCTTGGGAATGTAGGTCCCAACAGACAAGTCGATGTGATCGGGTTTGGATGTGTTGACAATCCTCTTAAATGGCTCAATCTCACCAGAGTGTACCTCGAACGCACTCCCTAGCTGTAGCGATCTAGTGGAGTATTCATGTCACAATGATCCTATTATGCATGCATGCCCATTCGCTTCAGCTATGAGAGTTTATTTTGATGTTCGAGTTCGACGGCCTCCTCTGGCGCTCCCCTCTTTCCTTTCAATATCATCTTCCTAGTCATCCCATACCCCGTTACCTGCGCGATTCTGACCACACTTTGGCACTATGTAGTTTTCCATGTACTTTACCGGGAGGCGTACCAAGCGCCTCTCTAGATTGATCAAAAAGAAATTATCTCGGCTCTTCGTCAAGTAAACCTACCAGGATGCTCTGCTTACCGAACTTCGCTTTCTCGTCCTAATGATACTGAGCTTCAGCGGAATAGGATCTCGGTCGCCAAGGACCATGCAGGAGGCTCTGCTTCCGGTCCTATCAATCGTCACCGTACCAGTCACTGAATATCCTAGAAGTCGGTAAACCTGTTGGAATCCAGAGGAAAACTCCTGACTGCTTTCGAGGAAAGTGTGATTAGGCGGACTATTAGGCGAAGCGTGCGTGCTGACTAAGAACCCTGGTGGATTAGTATGGCTCAAGAAGTGTAGGAGGCGGCAGCAGTAGGCAATTATCGCAAGCTCTTCCAATTGATACGCACCAGTGGTCCCAGAAAACCGGGCGTCAGTGAGACAATCAGCGACAGCGCGATCGGAGCAATTTTGGGGGCGTTTCAGTTGGCCCCCTGCTCCCGGACCTCATTTGGTGCAGATTGAGTCATGGTCGGTTAGTTTAGAGGTTCCCTCGGAGGCTGAGATCCAAAATGCAATCGCGGCCCTTGACCGTTTTCGTGCTGCTGGCTCTGATTCACTCGCACCCGCACCATTTAAGGATGATGGTGAGGTCCTCTGCAAAGCATTGACCTCCCTGTTCGGACAGGTCTGGAGTAAAGAGACCATTCCAGCTAACTTCAGTGACAATATACATGAAGGGTAGCCGCACCGCCTGTGCTCAGCACAAACGTATTCACTAACGCTGGTGATGGCGAAATTATTGGCCTCAGTTGTCATTTGTCGCCCCACTACGGCACGGAAATCGTCAGCAATGCGCATTCCCTCCGATCCCCGTTGTTCTAGACTCCTTAACCCGTCTTTTGGTGGTCCGTGGTTATAGTCACTGATCTACGGGTGGGGGGAAGGGGTCAGAAGGAATGCGCACTGCTGTTGATCCCAGAAGGAATGAAGCGGCCGTCTAGTGTATTTACGGACTATTGCCAGGTGTCTGACTAGTCCAGTTGTGATGAATTTCAACTTGTACAATCCCCATCGGTTAGAACAGTGCTTTTTGTTTTCTTAGATAGTTCATCACAGTCAGACTCAGTCCTTTAATCGCCACGCATCCGGAAAGGTGCTGAACAGACATTTTGTATTACTGCGAATCGTCGGCAGCGCAGATCCATCAAATCCAGCTGAATTCGAATCCATGACATCCATTTTATCGTAGCGTGTGACACCATGCTCACCATTTTCCCGCAGAGAGCCTTTGATGAGTGGGCGCCTTTCTGGTTTGAATGGGGCGGTAGTGCATTATTTAGCAACGGTTTTACTATCTTATCAATGTAGACACCCGGTGACACTCATACTCCGTTCCGCACTAGTTCACCACCTTTTGCGTAGCGGCCAGCGGTTCCCCCTATCTCTCTTTATCAACTCCATTTTCTTTGTATTCTGTTCACAGTTCGCCTCATTTTATCGCCATTGTTATTTATCGTTATATTGGCAATGGGAGTCTTAACGATTGTATCCTACACACTTTGGTATCGACATCTTTGGCGTCAGAAAAGAGTTTCCCTCGGTCTAAAAGGCCGTATTTACAAGGCCACAGTGAGGGCTGTGAGACTTGGCCTACCCGTGGCTCTAAGAATCACATGCTGGCCTTGTAATCTGAGGTCTGGGGTTCCAGCCTCACTATTTCTTTGATGTGAATCGATCTTCCTGATATGCTTAACTGATCGTTTGGCTACTCATTATTTATTGTCTCTACATTGACTTGATTCAACTAATGTGTTTAGTTCTCTTTTTGCCAACTTTTTGTGCCTTTCCGACAGTCATAAAACACATCAAAACTTGTTACTAACTTCGCCCTTCTTTTCTGCAACTCACTTCCGCTGACAGTCCATTTAAGTGCACACGTTTCTATTATTTACCAACTGTATGGTCAATCACTTTTTCACTCTTCCATTGATCTTCGTCTCAGCGAACGACGCTATCTTCTCTACCACTGGTAGAATCCTTACAACTACCGCATCACCACAACGGCACGTTCTTTTTATCACACTGACGTCATCACTTGGTGGTTAGATCATAACCTGCTTTCACCTGCAAACGAGTCGTGGATACGCCGCGAATATATATGGTCACTATACATGAGGCTACACTTACCGTCTCACTTCGATTAAGCCATTGCACTCTTTTTACAATCAGCGCGTATTTTCTTTTTTTCTCTTTATTCAGTCGACTTCCGTGACCGCATTACACCTGAGCCCTGTGAACAGAACAAAATGAACGATCAGCTTGTTTGTGGACCTACCGACCACTCCCTACCGACTGAGCCGCTGCTAGTTAGCGACACATTGATGAACTCGACAGCCTCTAATCCAAAGTCCACTCTCCTCCTCACAGAGCACAACGTTACAACAAGTGGGTTCTCGGCTCATCCAGATCAATGCACCGTGAACCTGTCCACCTCACACATCCTCGAGTTGGATGGAGAATGAGTTGTGACGTCAATTACTCGAATGTTTGCTCTGTATCGTGCGCACACTTACTAGCGCTTGTTTTGCATCCACATGCTGGGGATTCTTCTCTTACTACTTCTACACAATCCTTCCCGGTTGGTTCCCCTTGTGTCCTGTACAAGACATTTAGAGTCGAATGCAAGTCTCTACTGACCTCGCTTTCCTTCTTCCTTGTCATCTGCATCACTTGACTATGTACTCATACATTGGCATTCGCCAGTAGTTTGTGACCACCAGCTAGTAGGGGACCAATCGTTGTATGCTGTGATGGATAACAGATGTACGCTCACCTATTGCCTTGATTCAATCAAATTTGATATCAGTATACGCGATACTTCTTTGTCTCAGTTTATCTCACTGTCCTTACCTACTTATCATAACCAGGGCGTCTCGATCACTTTCGTCTCTGCAACTCAAAGACCCGGTCTAAACGCCACGCGCAGTTTCCCTGGTTGCGCAATCCATTCGTACTTCAAAATAACCCTCCAAACAATAATTAACTGTTGTGTCAAGCCTTGCCTGTCATGATCTGGTGCCTTAGGGGTAGAGGTCCTAATGGTCCCGGGTTCGTGACCTGCTATACCTATCTGGTGCCATCAAATAAGGTCGAAACGCATCGTGGAGTGTAGTGTTTTCGGCCAGGCAACCTCCAATATCTACCTACTCCGTCACTTAGAGTATCAGTGATCGAAATAGCTGGGATTCACTTCAGTAGGAATCACAATCCACATTAAGATGCCGCGTTGCCGTCCATTCACACAACGCTTACTTCAAAATGATCCTCCAATCACCCATTGTGTGAACCGATTGCGAAGCGCAATCCCAGTGTGAAACGCGATTCGCATTGAAGTGAACCTGGGTCAAATCGATCACTGGGACCATAGCTGAAACAAACGAATATTGGATGTTACCCCCACACGTCGTTTCCATTAAACGGCAACTCTGATGAGACTTGAATTTTTGACGCGGTGATCACTTTCTCCGGCTCTCTTCTTGCTAAGATGCTCTATAACGAAATTCGGGCACAAGTTTTACATTAGGGTATTAGTGAGAAGCCGCACTTCCTCATCTAGTATGTCTGAGTTACGGATTATTCTTGCTTTTTCCGCTGCATTTCGACCAAGTTAAGATTCGAACAAGAGAATTATGCGAATTTATCTTCCGTTCATGTTGCACTAAATGCAAAAGTGTGAAAACGTATTTTTGTACCAAACTATCGCAATTGATAGAGCGAAAATGCGCTTCAACATGATATACGGGATCAATGCGATTTATTCTAAACTTGTTCGAAAGTACAGTTATTAGAATGAAAATATCGAAAATCGCGATAACTTTATTAGCAACCTAATAGTTCGTTTCTCGACTGGGTTACTTGCTCTTCTTGATCATAATTGAGACATCTCTGGTTTGTGGATTTTCTCCTTCACTTGATTTTCAAATGAGCAATGAAAATCTCCGCTTAAACCCATCCGAGTGGACTACTCATTCCAGCATCATCCACCTACCGATACCCCAATTTTTGAAAATAGAACTTGACATCCGAGGTTCATAGAAGTAGAGGCTGTCCTAATTCAAGAACTGGAAGACGCACTGACTCCGCCACATGGTTGCATATGATCTGGTTAGTCTCTCAGCGGTACTTTGGTCAATATTGCTGAATCGATGCTGGCCGTAAACTTTTACTCAGCTGTACACCATCCAAACGTTCCACTAATTCGAACATATCTTTCAGACTGTGCTTTATTATTGACTTCCTAACATGTTCTAATATTGCCACTAATTATTCAGTCAGCCTGTGTGGCGACAAATTACCCATGCATAAGATCGGACTAAGTGGGACATCCAACTTTGCAAATTTGGCAGTCCATAGAGCTGAAGTGTCTGCATCCCACTGAGTTTCCAGGATTTCATGATTGCAGCGTTTAAGTTTCCTACCAGTGGAGTCAGTATTTCCGTGTTTCTCCCCCTCTGTAGTTCTGTTGCGTTTCTCACGCCGGCTCCACTCTGATAGTAAGCCGGTCAGAAGCTGGTCAATTGACAAGACAGTGTGTGTGTGTACGGATATTGAAAACTTTGCTATCTCAACTGTATTAACTCTTATGATGCAATATATATGCATGTGTTCTCATGGAATTGATGTTGGCTGTGTCCTCGATACGCCTTTACAAGACAACAACGTCTTGGCCAATCTTCGACTCCCTGGTTCGGAATCTGTCGACAGTGACAGCACTCTTCGCATCTGGTGGAACCGAGACAATGGCTCAACAAATTTATCGCCCTCAGCAAACATGTTGAAGACAATCTGCTCTACTGGATATCGGTAAACAGTCGCATGTGTGCAATTTAACTACGAACTTCTATTCGGGTTACTAAGCACCATCTAAAGACAAGGTGCCTTTTCATCGCTTCCGTTTAGTTCCCTACTGATTGAGCTTTGGCTGGTATGCAAGACAAATTACATTACCATCTTTCATCTCCGCATGGTGAAAAACACTGACCTCTTACTTGTTGCTGGTGACTGAAATTCTTAAGTGGATCATTTTTCAAACTGAACACCTGGAAGGCAGTTTAGGGTGCTGAACAGACAATGGCGATCAATTCCTACAGCTACGTGCTGAAAAGGCATCAAAATGAGTCAGTCAACATCTTGGAATCTTACGGAGGGCTTTCGGCAATTTTGATCCATCAATCTTTCCCCAAATGCTGAACGCCTACGTGTGACCTCACGTGGAATATACGATCCAGGCCTGGCGCAGGCGCGACGTCGATGCACCTGAAGCTCCGCAACGTAGAGCGATCAAACTCGTTAGAGGATTTTTCATCACTCCTGTCAACACAGACTGCAGTCTCTGAGATTGTACAGTGGTGAATATCGACGTCAGCGGGGAGACCTAATCCTGCTTTACTTAATATTGACGAACCCAACTCACCCATGTCGCAATCTGTTGCAGCTGAGCCGAAATACCAACCTGAGAGGCCATCACCTCAAACTGGCTGCGCACTACAGTCGACTTGATTGTCGACGCAATGTTTTCTCCCTCCGTGTGTCCCGTGCCTATAATGCCCTTCCGGCTCACGTTATCCTTGCCCCTACATTAACGCTATTCAAAAAACGCCTTGATGAAACGCTTTCCAACTTGCATTACTTGACATAGTCCGTTTCACTTGGAGGACGAAACAACGCAAAGCTAACCATGTATTTAACGGCCCTCTCCGCAACGTGGCGGTGAGGATACACGTAGTAGTATCCATGTGGTTAGGCTGGATGTAGCTAAACTGGATTAACCTATCACATCTGTCAAATGAAGGAACACACGAGTGAGCGTTGTCGTTTCCTTTTATATTTCTCATGCACTCACTGAACTATAACAACTCTATATTATTTTGCGTGTGCACATGCCATTCCCACTTAAAACTATCGTTATGCAGTAGTGCATTTAACTCGGTGGACGCTTGAAATAACCATTTACTTATTCGGTGATCCTTCAAATTTTAATTTGTACTCCAATCATCCTACAGGACTTGTCAAGCACATGCTTTTTGCCCGTGATAAATCATTGTTCATTGGCCGCCTCCGAATCTGGATTTACCTGTCACGGCGGTATCCACGGGGACAGTCACAGGACGCCTGCGCCTACACAGGGACCATGGGTGACTTACGCTGCACCACCCGTAGTTCCATCCACACACCCCATATCCAATGCAAACCCGAAGGAATAGAACTGGGAGGCATGTGAATGAGAGTCACGTTTCATCAACAGGGCCGGTCCACACTCCTTCAATATGCACAATAGTGGCATTCCTGTCTATCTATGTAGGGAATCATGCGTAATATGTGTACACATGGGGGTGGCTGGGCCGTAGCTTGCTCCACACTGGAGTTTAGCACGGTTACGAGAACCGTGCACCCCATCCCCAGAGCAACGACTCACAGTCTCCGGAATCCAGTAATCGAGGTGGATAGTGTTAAACAGGTAGGCACCTTGTCAACATGCACATCAAGCGCAGCCACACCGGGGATATCAAACAACCAACATGGAATTTGTGGGTAAGCAAACGTGCGAAATTGACACAAAATATGCAACAGAACTGATCAAACCCAATAAAGTGGAATGACTTTTATCCAGATAAAAAGATCTTGTTTTTTGTGTAAGTTGGACTAGCCCAACTTCGGTGAAGAAGCCTCATGAATGCAACATCAACCTCAGCATGAGGCACTGACCACAATATATGGTCAGTGTCTCATACTGTGGTTGATGTTGCCTTCATCATACTTCTTCACCGTGGTTGGGCTAGACTAAGTTACACATAAACTTGATCTTCTAAACCTATATATATATATGTATTTCTGATTGGCGGCATCCGCTTTCGGATTTGCATGTCACTGTGACCAGCCACAGAGCGCCTGCGCCTACAGAGGGACGATGGGTGGCTTGCGCTGCACCAACCACAGTTTCAACCACACACCCCACCTCCAGTGTAAACCCGAAGGAATAAGACCGGGACTCATGTGGGTGGGAGCAACTTTACATCATCGGAGCCGGCCCACACTCCTTCACAGGAAAACACAAGCACACTGTATTTGGGAAACAAGCGCACACAAGGCGGTGGCTGGACCGTAGTCCGCTCCACACTGAGTGCATGGAACCACTCTTCGAGCCTAGCACGGCCACAAGGACCGTGCACCCGTCACCTCCAGCAACGACCAGCTGTCTCCTGAAGGTAGTATGGACGAGGTAGGCAGCACTGCTTTCCAGCACAAGCGTTCATATCATGTCACGTGGTGCCCACCGAATTCTTCGATGACTTGGACCCAAATTGACCATATTGTCATTAACTACAGATGGCACACATCAGCCCAAGACTTCGTTAAATTGGGAGTACGTGCCTGTATTCTGGCCTTGGTTTAATTTGCGCACGCCTATTGCTCACTACTCATACCAAAAAGTGCTTAACATCTAAACGTTTTACTTGTGACTTGAACTTACAGTATGCAGTTCAACAATAAAATGAACTGGCCCACCAATACTCAGTGATGAATGCTGATAAGGTGAACGCTGACTGGGATCATCCCAAGTGTGCCATGATGATCGCTTTTGACGCCTGCTGCACGCTTAACGTAAGAAGTCTTAACTGAGGCATCGATCCGTTCGGAAACAGGTTCTGATGGGCGCTGAGTTTCAGCGTGTTCGTAACCTTAAAACGACCTTTAACCAAAAGTCTTCGACTTGATCGGGTACGTTAGAGAGTGGCAAGGGCCTTTGAGATGTAGAAAGCTAGTGTTATTTGGAACGGCAGGGCACTGTTCCAGCTCATCCGGGACAAGGATCC